TTATGTTATTCAACATTAATTAAATTATAATTTAAAATAATATTGAATTATTTTTATATGAAATTAGTAAAACTAAAATAAAATCAAAATAGACCAAAAAAAATCAAAATCCAAACCAAAACAAGAAGAAGAAAAAAAAATCACAATAAAATGTCCAATATTCTTTAATTATTCGTGTTAAATTTTAGAATTCGGCATAATAAAAAAGTAAATTATAAAATTAATAAGTGAAAAAAATAACAAAATTACAACTTCAATATAAAAACCGTACAAAAAATATATATATATATATATACTTCCTTTTCCTTTGTCACAATTCAAAAGCATCCTTAGGAGTTTTGAAATAGATTACAAAAATAATATTAATATTTTATTAATTAGTAAAAATGTGTAAGAATTTTTGATATTTTTTTCATTTAATTTTATATATAAAATAATTATATATATATATATAATGATATGCTTGTAATTTAAGTAAAAATTAAAAGTATGTTGGTATTAGCGTATGATTACTCTTTTTAAAATATAAAATTGATACTTTAAAACGAAACTGACGAAAATGGTAAAATAAATATTTGAATTGAGATGATCTTGTACGTGTGCGTGTATGTACGAAGATGATAGATCTTATATTTAGTGCAATATATAATATAGAGAAATGTAAGAGAATGAATGTGTATTTGTATTTTATTTTACTATTTAATTTTTATAATTTTTTAAAAATATTTTGTTCCGATTTTATAAAATTCATATCAAAATTATTATTATTAAAAATTACTATTAAATATGATAATATTTATTCATAAAATTTTATTTCATTGAAATTCTTTTTTTATTCATTGTTACCTTGTAAATTCATTCTCTCTAGATAAAAAATTTGTTATATTTTTTTTTTTTACATTTTTCAGAATAAATTCTTTATTAGAGTATCTGTTATAGTTATTACTTTGTCCTATTATATCTTTTATCTCTTTCATCCACATCATATTTATCTCAACACCCGTTATAGTAAATTGCTTCAACACATTAGAACATCTCTTACAATCACTTCTCTTGTTACTTTTATGATTACATTTTCAGTTGTTATCTTTCTCATTACCTTTTAAAAAGAAATACAATTATTCACAATTTATTACATCTCTCAAGAATTGGTTACCTTCAACAAATTTTTTTTAAAGAAAGTAATTAAATATTATTTAAAAAAAATTAAAATTATCAATTTAACAATGATCTAATATCTATATTGATTTATTCCAATAAATTTAATTTTTAAAATAGTAAATTATATATTTCAATATATTAAAATTTATACTCATTAAAATTTAAAAATTTAATACAATATTATATAAAAATATTATTAGACAATAAAAATATATAGAAATATGTATAAATAAATAAATAATTTTTATATATTATGCAATAAAAATATATATAAGTTGTATTAATTGTTTATTTTTAAATTTTTTTAGGTTTGTTGATTTATTTTCTAAATTATTTATTTTGTTGTACTTTTTAGCGCAGAGCAAGAGGTATAAAGAATTGAGATCCGAAAAAATTGTCTTCTAAATATCGAAAGTTGCTCTTATTTTTGTTTAGGTATGTTAATTTATTTCTACTGCCTAATATTCTCGTTTCACGGGGTTTTATTCATTTTAGTCGGAGAAGATTTTCGTATGGACATTGAAATTGTTTGAAGGTTACAGAAGAAGAAAAAAAAAAGAAGAAACAAGAACAAAGAAGAAAATAAATAGATAAATACAGGTGGTTAGCTATAAGTGTTTGGTGCTTTTTTTATTTGTAATATATAAAAAATATTTTATTATACATAGACATATTTAAGTGTAATTTAAATTCTTATTCGCAATTGATTATAATTTATATTAACTTATATTTTATTTTTATTATTTTTACTATTCCCTCTGTCCCATTGAAAGGGTGGCATTTGATTTTTGCACGTAAATTTTTGAATATTAGTATTATATTAGATTGTTGTAAAAAAGAAAAAAATACCCCTATTAGTATGGTGTAATATAAAAATAATGTTATTTGTGTAATATATTGTAAGTTGAAAGGGTATTTATTATATTAGGTATGTACTACAATTACTAAATTAAAAAATAGTAACCTTGCTTTGGGATGGACAAAAATTGAAAATAGTAACTTTTCAATGGGACGGAAGGAATATTTTTTTATCGGATAGTTACAATTTTGTTATCAAAGTATTGTAATTAAATAACCATTTATTGGAGAATTGATTTTACCGTTAAAGTTGTAAAAGAAGAAATTGTTATTATATATATATAAATAATAGTTTTATTGAATTATTTTTCTTCTATTTGTAGATCCATATTTAGAAGTATAAATGTAGTTCATTTTATATATAAATAAAAAACGTAAGGGATGGGTTCCACGTCCCTACGAAAAAAACAAAAAAAAAAAAAAATCAAACAACCAAACGTCATAAAACTATATGTATAACTTTTATATATTTTTTTAATTGATGTTGTTCATAATAAATTAAATTATTATTTTAAAATTATATTATTTTAGTTATAGTAAATATTTTTATGTCAAATATATTAGGTAAATCATAATTTATATTATTAGATATTCATTTTAAGTTTGTAAAATTATTATTAAATTTGTTTTAAATGATAATTTTTTTTTAAAAAAAATAATTGTTATTTGTTTAATTATTACTGTTTTTATAAAAAAATATTATTCTTAAACTGATTAAATATTTGAAAATAAACATAAAATTAATAAAAACTTATATAATAATGTATTTTAAGATAACTAATAATTTTTTTGGTTGATTGTACCGTGCGTAGCACGGATCTTTCCGCTAGTAATAATAATATTGTAGATCATATATTGTTTACATATATATATACTAATATGATATGTGTATAGATATAATTATAACTCTTTTATATTTTTTTTATTACTAAAAATAATAAATAATGTAAGATAAAATATAATTTTATAAATAATTTTTATTATGATTTACTTTTAAATAAAAATTACTCTATTTATCAATTTAATAAATTTATATTTATTTTTTATGTCATTATAGTTAATATTAATAATAGTTTCATATTTGTATAATTTATCATACAAATATATTATAAAATGCAATATTTTTGCTTTTTGTTTTTAATCTTAATTTGTATCACTTTTTATATAATAATTAATATATAAATATAAGCATACAAAAATTAAATATCAACTTATTAAGTGAATGAAAATAATATTAAAAATAGAAAAAATATATAAAAATCAAATAATTATTAATATTATATTCACAAAAAAATAAACATATCGTACATATAAATTGTTATAAATGTATATGAAACATTCTTTTAATATTTTATAAAATTAGCAATAAAATATCCAACAAATATAAAATTATATTTTAGATTAAGAAAAAAATAATGAAAATAATTATCTTAAATTACACAAGTAAGAAATGGGGCACAAAAGAATTTTTTTTCATTTTTTTTACAGTTTTTATTTTATGAAAAAATCACACACACAAAAAATATATATATATAGATTTTCACTAGTTAAAATTTTTATTATTCCATTAATCATTTATTTTTTATTGAATAATCCAAATACCTATATTTTTTATATTTCTCAACTTATTTAAAGAATTATTTTTCATTCTCTGCTCGAATCTTTTTTTTTTTTTCCTCAAATTTAATTTTCTACTCTTATTTTCTCTACGATTTCATCATCTCTATCAAACACCCCATAAAAGCATATGTTACAGTCATATTATTTATATTATAATAACTTTTATTACAACTACTAAGAAATACAATTAATACACAATTATTACTTTCATGAAGAACTCATTATTTCTAATCAAAATCGCAAAAAAATATTATTTAATTAATTATTATCAAAATTTTGAAATTAAAACGTTTACAATTTAAATTATCATAATTATTTATATAAATACAAGTCAAATTTATTTTAAAATATCACGTTCATCTACATATTCTTTAATTATACTATATTATATATATATTCAATTTCAACATTTATTGTTTTTTTAGATTTTCATATTAATCTTTCTTTAACTAGTTTTTTTAAAAAATGTTGAAAATAAATTTTTTCGAATAATGTATTAATCCAAATTTATTTCAATTATTCACGTTTTTAAAAATCATTAATTTCATAAATTCAAATCATTTTAATATTTCAAAATAATTATAAATATTATATAATATTATTATAATTTATATAAATTAATATTTCTAAATTAAAATATAATATTATATCATACAAATGATTTATATATTACTAAACAATAAAAAAATATAAAAATAAATAAATATTATGAATTTATAAAATTATAAAGTAATGAGATGGTGGTGATGATGCTACATCAGGTAGTAAAAAAAGTAATTTGAATATTGACGTAGAAGTAATTTCAATATTGATGTGAAAATACGGTAGACACGGAGAGATAAGAAAAACTGTAAAAAGACTTAGGGTGCGTTTGTTTGTGAGGTTTAGATTTTGGATTTCAATTTTTTAATAGTAAAAAATTAAATTTAAATAGTTGTTTGACACGATATAAACGAAGGTTGATGAGATATAAATAGAAGTTGATGTGATATTTTAAACGTAAAATAAAATTAGAATATAATATAAAAAAAATAATTACTTAATATAATATTAATTGTAAAAATCTACAGTAAAACCACGAAAGGACGCAACCTCAGATAACAAATGCTCTAAAATTGGCTTGACAACCATTCAATTTGGCAGTTTTGGGCATCTCTAGTGGGCTCCGGTGCTCGTCGCACCGCCGTGCGTGGCGGGGCGGACGGTCGTGGTCGGCCTGAGGAGGAGGAAATAGGAATTGATCCCATGGGTCGTCCTCAAAGATGACGTGGATTTAAATGTCAAATACGACCAAAAGATAAACCACAAATAAACACACACGCCCTATAAATTTGAAAGCGACGCTACTTATTAATCCCAAATTAAAAAACACTCAACCCTCTCTCTCTCTCTCTCTCTCTGCACTCCGGCGTGTCGCCGCCGCCGCATGCCGCTTTTCCGGCTGCTGATCCATTCGCTACGCCGCCTTTCCTTTGATGTTCTTCTCCATGTGCAAACCACGCAAAAAGAAGATGACGAATCAGCCAGTAGTTGAACCAACGAATCACCCTTCTCCGCGTCCGACTTCGTCTTCCTCGTCGAGGAAATCGAAGAAATCGCAGATGAATTCCACCTCCAATCCATCCTACTCGACCGGCTCCGACAATTTCGCGATCCCTAGCACCGCCTCCACCTCCAGCTTCTACGTAGATTCCTGGAAAACCTCTGGCTCCGGCCTCGCATCGCTCAACAGCTTCCGCGATTCAATTCTTCCGGAGCAGCCGTACGTGTACAATTTCAGGGAGATCTCGGCGGCGACGCGCAATTTCACGCTTAAACCCTACTCCTCCTCGTCGTCCTCCACCGCGTGGCGGTGCAGCATCCAGAATCAGGACGTGGTCATCTTCCAGCGGAAATTCCGCCGCCAAATGGACACCTCGCAGCTCGTCGATCGCCTCTCGCTCATCTGCCGTAGCCACCATTCCAGCTTGGTAAAATTGAAAGGCGCTTCGATTTCCGATGGTTACATTTATCTGGTTTATGAGCATGTTCCTGGTGCTAGTCTTGCTAATTGCTTGAGAAATGCTAAGAACCCTAGCTTCACAGTTTTAGTTAAATGGATGTCTCGAATTCAGATTGCTTTGGATATATCTCACGGTTTGGATTATGTCCACAATTCAACAGGATTAGGGTTTGAATTTGTGCACAACCATATAAAGAGCAGTAGCATTATAATCATCGAACCTGCCCTGAATGCAAGGATATGCCATTTCGGAACCTCCGAGCTCTGCGGCGAGGTAATAAGAGACAATCCAGAGGACTCTAAACAGTTGATCCGATCAAACAGTAAGATCAATAAGTTCGAGGGGACAAGAGGGTATATGGCCCCGGAGTTCCAAAGAAGCGGTATTGTAACTCAAAAATGTGATGTGTTCGCATTCGGGGTGGTGATTCTTGAATTGTTGTCGGGGATGGAGCCATTGTCTTACAAAATTAATGAAGACTCGGGCGCCTATGTGAGAACGTCGGTGGTGGACACAGCAAGGGCGGCAGTGGAGGGTGGTGATGCCGGGGTTAGGCAGTGGGTGGATAGGCGATTGAGAGATTCGTACCCGGTGGAGGTTGTGGAAAAATTGGTTCGGTTGGCATTGGATTGTGTGGAGGATGAGCCAGATAGAAGGCCCGATATGGGTAAGGTTGTAATTCAGATTTCTCAGATGTTCTTGGAATCGCAGAACTGGTCGGAGAGGATGGGAGTGCTTACCGACTTTACTGTTTCTATCGCACCGCGGTGAAGCTTCTTTACCTCAGGGATTCAGCATTGTATATTTCTGTGAATCGTATTTTTATTCGAGCCTACATTTAAGAATCAATTCTTGCCGTGTTTTTGTCCCTGGATCACAGAAGTTGTTTCTTTGTTTGAAAGAAACAACCAAGAAACACTTCAGATCATTGGAAAAAAACAGAGGGAACGTTTTTAGATATACGGAATTCTTGGATTCGGATAATTATCTCGATTTCCCACGTTTCTTTACACCTATTGTAGTCACTGATGATATATTTAGGAAGTAAGTAGTGTTGGCATTGCTGTTATCTGTTCATTGTTCGAATTTGGATTAAAGAGGTTTCCGAGGTCTCAATTCTGGTATGTTTTATAGCTCGTGTAGCTACTGTGAATGATGTTGTTGAAATCAGTTCGATGTTTATTAAGAGTGATTGCAATGTGCTTCAAAGTTTCAGGCCTCACTCTGAAATCGGTCGTCGGTCCGGGCTACTCGGAGCAATTGAGGAACTTCTTCTGTTTAAGTATTGACTTGATTTTTCCCTTATCCAGGTATGACTTTTCTTGTTTCGAATGACTACTAAATTACAAAAAAATATCCCACACGTATACCCATTATTATTTTTGTTATGTATTTATCTTGTTGGCAAAATATATTGCATATTTACAAAAGTCACTATTTCTGTCATTTTGCTTTTGCCGGGCACGACGTTCACACCAGGCGCGATCATGGTGTCCAAATGATAGAAATAGCGGTTTTTGCAAACACGTAGAGTAGGATATGGGTATATGTGTGGGATGTATTTTTGCAATTTTCCCTGAAATTTGTCTTGGTTACGCCGAGTGTCTGACTTTCTTCAAATGTTTGGTATGTTTTTGAATTGTTTTTTTCTGCATAAGCTGCTGAGGATATGTTCCTTCGCATATTGGAGTGTTTTTAGAAGTGGTAAAAAAATTGAACTGAAAGTAGGCTTTGAAGAAGGGCGTGCATTCGGTTGATTTGGTTTGAATTTTAACTTTTGATCGATTTTCGATTTATAAAATTTAAAATTGAAAGACCGGTTTGGGTTTAACAAACCAGACTTTATTTAGTTTGCTCTGTTTAGTTTATTAATATATATTAATATTTAAAATTATAATATATACTCATTTGGTCCGTATGTAAGCTTTCTATTTGAATTTTATACGTAAATTAATATTGTATAGATATATAGTGTAATGTCTATTTTATTTGTAATATTAAAATAACAGTAGTGAAAAAGGATAAAAAGTAAGAATATTTTGATACAGTTGAAAATTACTTTTACTTAAGTTTTTGATTTGGATAGATTAGAATTGTAAAAGTGAGAAGTTTATTAATGGATGGAGAAAATATCATTTATTAATATAAAATTTTATTTTATTTTTAGTTTGAGTTTTTCAGTTAATTAAAATTAAAAATTGAAAATTATAATTGAATCGAAATTGTAATTTTCTCAAATTTGGAACTTTTTATGGACCCAAGGTTGTTTTCGGATCCAAATTCGTTTTATATGATTTCGGATATAGTATTTTTAGTTCGTGATGTTTATATATATTAGTATTATTTATTAATATATTTATATAATTGTATACTCAATATATACTATTAAAAGTATTTATTTGAATTTTGGATTTTAATAAAAATATATATACTATAATATTAGATGATTTAATATATCTCCTTGGCACTATAGTTTTATTCTTAATTAATTGACTTTTTATATTCTCTCCTTCCCATAACAAAGTATTCATTTTTTCATTTTAGTCAGTTTCGTTACGAAGTATCCATTTTCTTTTTGTAATAATTGTACTATCTACCTAACATTACAAATACCCTTACAACTTACGATATATTACACAAATGCCATTACATTTATATCACACGTACTAATAAGGTTATTTTAGTCATTTCTATTTTATTCCTACTATATTCCAATATAATACTAAAATTTTTAAAACTACGTGAAAAAAGCAAATGGATATTTACTTATGGGACGGAGGGAGTATTAAAATTGAAAATATCTGTTAATGAAAATTTAATTGTTGGATTTTTACAAATATTTGTGAAATTTATACAATCTAAATCTAAATTTGGATTTGGTGAATTGTTTATATTATTTGAAAACTAATATTGATGAAATTTTTTATTTACCAGTAAGTTCTTTTATTGAATTATACTAAGATTATATATATGCAATTAACTTAAATAACATATGGGTATTATGTGAGAATGCTAGATCAATAAAAAAGGAAAACAATTATGCTCACATGTATTTTTATTTTTTTTTGGATAAAAAAAAAAGGTAAAATTGTTTATAACTCCCATGTGGTTTCAAAAAATTCAGCGTTAAATTTCTCTATATTTTAAAAATTGCATGGTACCCTCTTATACTTTAAAAAATGTTGCGTAAAACTCCACCACTATGAAACTTTTTTCATGTGATAAAAAGATGATTTACTATCTATATGTTTTGCATGGCATGGGAGTTTCATGCAATATTTTTGAAAGTATAAGGGTCATGCAATTTTTAAAAGTAAAGTGGGGATTTATGCTAAGTTTCGAAACCACAGAGTGGTTTCATGCAACATTTTTAAAAGTATAAAATGTCGTCATGCAATTTTTAAAGTAAATGAGAGATTTACATTGAGTTTAGAAACCTGGGAGTCATGATAATTTTGCCTTAAAAAAAATATGTCTCTAAATATATAAATATTGAAAGAGAAGAAATGATCAATTTTGATGTATAAATAAAATTATTTATTTATTCTACAGTATGTTAATAATGTAATGAATGAATTAATAATATAAAAATATTAATAAATATCTTATTATATTATTATGTCTGTTTTTTTTTTTTTAATTTAAATTTTGATTTATTTATTATTATTATTATTGTTATGATATGGGAATCGCGATTTGACCCAGGACTTCATGGTGACAATTCGCCCCACCATCAAACAAGTATTTTTAAGCATAAATAGTAAAATAATCATATAAATCAAAATCATTTACACAATATATTTTAAGCATAATCATATAAATAAATAAAACAAAATAATTATATAATAAAAATATATAAAACTAAATTATATATATAAATAAATATTTTAACAAAATTATTGAAATAATTAATATAATTATGTGAATAATTGGTGTTAATTCAATTGGTAATATAAAACTGTTGGCACTTTTTTTCAGACGTTTTTAAATTTAAATAGAATAGGACAAAATAATTTTAATGACTTCATTTAATCATTTAATTTGACTTTATATATATATATATACACACTAGTGGGTAGCCGCGCTATTACATTATTTTGAAAAATACATTACATTATTAATTATTTTGTTAATTTTGTTAATTTTTATGAAAAATACATTACATTAAATATATATTTAATATTTAAAATTATTATATTGTTAAAATTAACTGTTTGTTACCAAAAATAACAAATATATAAATTAGTCGTGCAATTTGTCACAATCATCTACTTTTTTAGCATAAAAAAGTTATGCTTTCATTATACATACTTAATTACTTATATCTCGAGGGTTACAAAATTAATTGTAATGGATAATATGTATTTTTATACTTTAAACTAATTAGATCCTGTTTTTCACATTATAATTTGAGTCATCCCAAAAATTTTAAATTTCAATTCAAAGATTTGGTAACCGATTTAATGTGAAAAAGAAACAACAATAATAACAAATAAATAAATAACAAAAAAGTAATTCAACAATAACCCAATAACTCAAGTTTATAATTATTATAAAAAGATTAGTAAATATAATAATTTACATCACGAAGATCTGATAAACACATGAGCACATTTCTCACACCAATCAACGTATAATATACGATATACCGGAGATTGTGAACCTGGTCTATCAAATATAGGCGTCACTGGAAGTATAAATATATAAGCACGATCAATAAATGTGCTCAAATACTCTTTAAAATTTGCTTTTCCGTTTCTCTACAAATATATATATATATAAATAAAGAATTGAAAACATGTTAAATGTAAATGAAGTTATTAATGAATTTATAGTACCTGTCGCATAAAGTTGCGCACGAAGGGAAGATCTAGTCGGAACATGAAATTTAGGTGAGCATATTTCAATTTTAATGCCAGTGTTCCGGTACTGTTGTATATTTCTAAGGGGATTGGATATAATGATGGATCGAATAAAATATTACATACTTTCCCCCCATCGACTCGTTTAATGCGTGCAAGCACACGATAAAATTTCACCTGTACAGTTTTTGTTCAATTTCATTCACAATTAAAAAAATGATTTATGCGTATATTTAAATAATACAGTATGCGTACCACATTTTGATATCGCAAATTAGCGATGTTAATTCTTTCGGAATTTGCTATGTTCAATAATTCTGGCATCGAAAATATCCTCGACCTAATGAATTCCACTTTTTTTTTTTTGTGCAGAGCGATTGCGCGTGAACCTATATAACAATTGGACCCGTTCAAAATGAATACTATGTAATTAGTCATATACTAAAAAAAAATACAATATTTAATATGATAATCATTTTATAATTTTGCAATGTACCTTCAACTGATATCACCAGGGCACCACAGGCCAGTAACGTCGTTTCTTCCTTCATCGCTACTTTCAATTTATCCTCATTAGTTATGGCTAGATTTCCTTTCAAAATTACTGGAACTTCTGTTAGACTTATTAATGCATAAGGTATAATTAGTTTATTTATTTATTTGTTTATTGAATTTGTATTTGAATAGTATAAATAAACATATAATGTAATAAGAATTAACGTCGTTACCTTTTATCCAGAAGTATAACTCCGCGCGTATTGTGGCCATCTTTAAACACGAAAGAATCATCTACAAAAGTAAATAACAATGATATATATATATATATATCTAGTATATATTATAAGTAAAACTTACCAATCAATTGATCCTCCATATCTACGTAAGATTTCAGATCCTTTAAGGAGATAATATTAACAAAATCTTTTGGGAAGATACCATTCTGATCAACCGTTTGTTCAATAATTGTGTCTTGATGCAGCAATAACTGGAATGAATGGGGTACTATTTTGTGTTTGTTGTCAACAATGATTACCTTCATTTTATGAATACTGTACACGTTGCCTTCGTGAAGTTTTGGAAGTAGAATAGGAATGTTCATTTCGTGTACCACGCCTTGTAGTATGAATCCCTGCAAAATATATAAAATAATCTCACTTATTCTATTACTATAGAAACATTACAAATAATATATGATATGTAATTTATGTTTTTCGAATAAGATTAATGAATACTTGCATAGGCGTCAATGAATAAAAGCTTCAAAATTCGAATATTCGATCTTGGAAATCGTGTGTCCACCAATCGAATCAATCGTGCTTTTATAGTAGCATCATAGCACTCGGGAGTCAAACTCGCAATATCTGAATATTCTTCACCTGTACGGCCTGTAAATTTATATGGAGAAATAAAAAATGCATTATAGCAATATACTATTATAAATAACGACATAATTATTTTATGAATAAGACTAAAAAAAATTCTTTGCATTATTATTTGAATAAATTGTAATAGAAAATAACTCTTACGTTATTAGAGAAGCGAGTACTTCTGAATATACTATATTTCTAGTAGCATTTGCTGGTACACCATCTTTATTATGAATGAGTATTTTTAACCCTCTTGGATGTGTGACTCTTGATAGTGCAACATATAGCATCCCATGGCAAAATACAAGGTTTGGAAAGTACAGTCCAACGTTTTCAAGTGTTTGTCCTTGACTTTTATTAATCGTCATTGCAAACGCCAATTTAACCGGGAATTGTCTTCTTTTCATTTGAACGAATGTTTGACTTGCACTTGTTGTGAATACAATGCGTGGTATTAGCACGTCTTTCCCCTTATGTGAACCGTTCATAATCCGTGCCGACAAAACTTTGTTGCCCAACTTCAGTATTGTAAGTCGAGTTCCATTGCATAGGCCCAAAGATTGGTTGATATTCCGAAGATGGATTACTGGTGCTTCTTCTTTCAATTCCAAACAATGGTTTGAGAAACCTGAAATATTTATAGTATTCAGCAACTCTACCTGATGTATATTTTCATTTGTATATTGCGCTTCCCTCGGGATTATGCTATCAGCACTATAGTATTGTCGTGGTTCGCCTGGCAGCATGGATAACATCATTGAGTTGATTTGATCTGCATCTGCATTCTTTGGCACTAAGATGACCCTCTCCATTAAGTAAGTAGTATCTGTGTACCGTTCTTTTAATTCTGGATATGTTTCGCTTATTAAGGAGTGGATACCATTTCGATTTTCATTTATCAGAAATGCTGAAGGGATTTCAATCCAATCAGATTCAGTATCATCATCAAAACGCAAGAATTTGGTTTTCCCCTCTCCAACCTTATTTATCCAATTTGCGAAGTTTTGCAGTTCATGATCTGATCGTCTTGTTCCATCCAACGACATTAGTCTAATATTTTTTTTTTCAGATGCAATATTATGCACTTGCTCCAAAGAGGTGAATTTGATAATGAAGCAGCGACAATGGCTTCACGTCTGCCTTTTGTTATAACCGGTAGGATTTGTCGGAAATCACCGCCCAAGACACATAACTTGCCACCAAAAAGCTTATCGGAAGTATAGTTCGACGAACTTTTCATTATGTCTTGAAGCGTTCTACTAACTGTTTCAAAGCAATAGCGATGTGCCATTGGTGCTTCATCCCATATTATTAATGAACTTTCTTTAATTAGCTTTGCCAGGTTTGAGTTGACAGTAACAGAACAATGCGATACTTCATGCAATTCGAACGGTATCTTGAAACGTGAGTGTGTTGTCCGACCTCCTGGTAGTAATAAAGCTGCAATGCCAGAGGATGCCACTGAAAGGACAATTTTTTGTTCAGATCGGAACTTTGCGATTAATGTTTTATACAAATACGTTTTACCCGTTCCTCATCCACCATTGATAAAGAAAAATCCACCGCAATTTTTCTCGTGAGCATTCATTATGACATTATATATGTGGCGTTGATCCTCATTCATTCCATGAAAAAAAGAATGGAACGTTTTCTCTTCTTGTTTTACATTATAATCGAGTTCTTCATGTATCAATCTGTTCGAGGGAAATGCATAAGATGCAGCTGATGGATGTGGCATAGACGGAAAATCTCTAAGAGTTCTTCCATTTTTCATTAGTATCGTCTCTATTTCCCGCAGACACCAATCCTTTAGAAGTATTTCAGAAAGAATAATATTAGTTCGCGATTCTCTTTTGAAATGATATGTGAAGTCGTCGACCATAGATTTCCAATGTGCTTCCCACAAACGAATAGGATTTGTGATTTCAGAAAACATAAGCATAGTTGCAAACATATCGCGCAATGCTGGTGATGAAGCCCAGGTCGTAGCTTCACCTAATGCCTCGTGATATTCATTATCATCATCAAGTAGGCCACGTGCCGCACATGCCTCTTTGAATGTTGCATATATATTTCCATTAAATGTACGAATATCTTCGTAGTTCTCAGCTCCACAGACTATATAAAGCAACATCCGTAAATAATATTTTTTTCCAGAATTCGGATGGGCATATGGCAATCTCCCTATGCTTCTCCCACGTTTTCTTATAGTCCATTTTTTGTTCTTTTTATTCCATACCCATTCACTGATGAAATCGACGTATGTTAATCTCTTTGCATCGATGTTTTTTTTTGTTAGCTTCAAACAATTTGGTCAACATTGTATCTCGAATTCCACAACGATTGAGAACATTTGGCAAATTGTCTCTGTAGTTGAATGTGACAAACTGTTGGTTTGGTAGGTGGTATTGCAGTCCCTCAACTGGCGGAGAGTGTTTTTGCAATTCAAATTAAAATATTCTCCAGCAAGCTTCTATTGCTGACACATAACGACAGTCAATATATTGTTTGATTTCATCCACTGGTTTTGCTTTTTGTCCAGTTAGTCTGTTTTCCTCCATATTTTGCTCTAACACGATGGTTGCACGGTCTGGTCCTTTGCACATATACTTATACATGTACTTCATTAACTTAGCAGATGCACATTTCTCTACATTTATATGAGCATTGTACAACACCAACAGGTCACGGTTGTACAGAACAATCCAGCGATTATCTATTTCTATGCCATTTATTAAAATTGTATTTGACGGATCATATCTACGTCTGTAGGAAACAAATCCATCTTTATCAATACTGGTGTGTGAGAAGAAACTTTTTGGATAATGTTTACTGCATCTTCCATCCATCATACATGGAGATTTTGGATTGTAAATTCCACAAGGACCATGAATCATATTTCTTGTTACCGTATCATTGCCAGTGGATCAATATTCTTGTCTGGTATTTCAGCGCATATGTAACGGTCTATGTCTTCTGTAGTAATTGGCTTGAATTCACATGCCAATGTTATTGTCATATGTGCATGCGGTAATCCTCGTTTTTGAAATTCAATAACTTCAACATCTGTTAAACATATAAAAAGTTAGAAACTATTGTTCACATTTAAACTTGTATTTATAATTTTTTAGTACAAGATACCTGCAAATGTCTTTCCGAAGAACATTTGTTTCTTAAATAATTGTACAATTTGTTTCAGTTTCATTCGAAACACTCTTGCCAGAATATCGGGACGATCTTCAGGTTTTTTATTAGGAAGCAACTGCAAGTCATTTAAAATTTTTGGCCATTTTGGATTGCAGGTGAATGTTATGATAAAATCAGGAGGTCCAATTGCTCTGCATGGCTAAAGCATCTTGATAATGTTATATCATATTTCTTGCACTTCCTGTGAAAGATGATGGTAGAATAATTCGCATTCCTAAAGTACTGGCATCTGTATCTCCAGCTACAACGGCATCTTCAAGACCTTGGTATAGATCTGAACGTAATTTATTTTAATGTGTCTTCAAGTAGTTCAAACGTTGTTGTTCAATTGCAGCATAACAATCTACTGCAAGTTGGTTAAATAGGCGTCCCCGCTACAATATAGTTGTACCTTCAAATTCTCTATGTTTAAAACGATATGCCCAAAATTCTCTTATGGTAACTTGTTTAGAAGTTGAATTGCACGGAATTGCAACTCTCCATCCATCAATTCCATAAGGAAAAAGCAATGGAAACTGTAATGGTGTATAAGAAGGATGTGTTTCATTAATACGCTTCAAGTATCCATCGTTTTTGCAGACAATGATATCTCGACTTTGAATATCCTCACTTGGTTCTCCACAGATTAAAGCAACAATTTCATTTGTTGTGGGCATTGTATATTGTGTACCACTTCGATCATGCAAAATACGTATACGGAGATTTATGCTCTCATTGTGCCTTAGCGCGTCTCTTGCGGAACGAAATATTTTTACATATGGATTCAAATCATCCAACATTAACTTTAACCCTTCGACTATTGAGCATAATTCTGAACTGAAATCCCTCTTTCAGAGAGCATTCAATTGGTTTTCTACTTCATTTTCCGTATCACAAATATATAATTGCACAAACTTATAGGTATCATCATAAGTCGGCAAAAGAGAACCTATTCGGTGATAATTTTCTCCAGAAATACGGAAACAATATACTCCTATTCCATCTTGAACTGATTTATCTATTTTACCACAAGTAGAAGTGAAACTAAAGATCGAATTCAAAGATCTTATATTTTTCATAAAAAGCCGACTTCCCAACAGATTGTGTAGGTAAGAAGGTGAAAGTGGTAGCAAAGGCAGCCGTATCTTTCCGCTTTGACAACACAAACTGAAGTTTGGGAATTCTTTACGACTTTTAAGAACTTTCTCCTCGAACCACATAAATGCACCACAATGGCGACATATGTTATCTCGTTCACCGAGTAACAATCTTCGAGTTGCAGGTTGTCTTAGGAAACGTGGTATAACTGATACATCTATTATTTTTTATATATAAGTAAATGCATATCTTGTTAAATTGTGTAAATATGTATATATATTATATATATAATAAATGTTAATTTTATTTATTAATAAATATATATTATATTTTTATTTCAATATAATTTTATTCTCTACACGATGATATATATTAATATATTTTTGTTAAAATTTAATTTTAAAAAATAAAAAATATGTATTTTTTGTTAATGTGGCGGAAAAAAATATATGATGTGGACTTATGCAAATGGACTAAATATATAATTAAAAGATAATAATTATCTTTTCTGATAAAAAAAAAAGATAATAATTATATTATATATAAAAAAAATTAATCGAAAAAAAAAGTTTACCTCTGTTTTCATAACTTGGAATGTTCGCAAGATTAGATTCCTCCATATTAGAGTTGAGTTTTGGAAAAGTACTTGATACAATTGTATCATCACCACTTTCAGAACTACCTATTTCAAATAACAAAAAAAAATAAAAAAATAAAAAAAATTACTAATTCTATATTTAAAATAAAAAAGAATAAATGGAATTTAGTACTCTGCGGAATATAAAACAATTAAATTTTATAAATTAAAATAATATTATACGTTAATATCAACAACAATAAATTAGAATATTATTACATAATTAATACCTTTGTCGACACGCACAGAATGTAGTTGCGATGATTCAACAAGCAAATATAAACCTACATTCGGTTGAGAAATACCTATATATTTGCAATAGAATCAATTGAATGATAATAATCACAAAATTAATATACATATATATATATATATTAAATAATATAAATTTGTAAAAATAAATTAATATTATTAACATTTTGATATTATATGAAAGTATATTATATAAATTTCAACTTTATACCTCATAAAGTAGATTCTTCTGAAATAGAAGTACTTGTATCCAACTGTTCATGAAGAGTTTCTGTTCGTGTTTTTTGAACGATGTTAGAAACAAAAGCTTCAGTTTGAATATTGCAAGCTTCACAAAGCCTGTAATATTGTTTTTCGATATTTCAATAATATTTCTCAGCCCAGCATTTCTACTTGTATTATATTCCTTCACACGCATCTCTCTTCTTCTTTTTAATCGAGCAATTTTCTTAAAGGCTCGTGCCGTATCCATCTGTAAAATAAGAACTCATTACAAATTTAAAAATTTATTAAACATATTCAATTTGGTAGCAATGAAGTGAGCAACTATATAGATCATAGTTTTCATAGGTTTTCAAATGCTCTATCAAGTATATCAAAGTATAACCATAATTTTATCTAAAATAATATGTTTATTGTATTGAACAGCAATGAGAACCAAATTGCATACATAACTAAAAAATGAGGTGAGAAATATTCAACACATCAAATTCATTTGATGTAGCCCTCTGTTCAAACAACAAATCAAGAAAACAAATAAAGCAAATAAAGAAATTTTTCGCATATACAAATAGTATTTTAAGAAGAAGATATGAGATATTGAAAGTTCATCATATAAAGGCAATTACACACACGTGGAGATAATTAAGTATCATATATTCACCCAAAATAAAACTAAAGCTGACAACAAAAGGTGAATTGTAGTGTCACCATATTATTCAATGCAAGCAATATTATTTAAAAAACTTTTGTAATGAAACTAAAAGATGACATGAACTGTGAATTTTACACCGAGTAACTCTTCGCCCCTCTAAAAATCACCCTCAAGAGAAGACTCTCACAGAACAGAAAAGAACTAAGACAAAGATTACCAATCCCACAACATATTTTAACTTCAAAGTATAATACTTCAACATGGACAGTTTCCTTTAACATATTCCATAGCCATTCAACTGCACGAAAATATCTAAGAAATAAGATTTTTTACTACTTATTCAAGTCTACAACATCAAATGGGTTTAGCATTAACAAAGCTATAATATACCTTCAGTGCACCAAAAATACGGTTTCCAGTTGTGGTTCTCAAAAGGCCAACATCAAGGAGGGCACGGACGGGCCTCCTTTCCTCGGGTTGAACAGAGTAGTCCTCACCAATTGCCTAAAAACCATTACATAAAACCTTAGCTTAAAAAATACTTCACAACATATGATAATTCAACAATGAGATGTGTCAAAAGGGGCAAACAACTCAAGTTAGCAATATGATGATGACCAAATAAGTTACCTCAGTATTTCCTTCATACTTTACCTTAATGATTTGATATACAAAAATTAATCCTAAAGTGTTGGTTTTAAACCCCTATTGAAGATAAGCAATTAAAAATACCTGATAATTCTTTTCAACATTCTGATCAAGGTTATTGATTAGATCTTTACAACTACCTTAATGATTTGATATACAAAAATTCATCATAACGTGCTGGTTTTAAACCCCTATCGAAGATAAACAGTTAAAAATATCTGATAATTCTTTCCAACAATCTGATCAACATGAAAGCACAAATATGGAGCAGTAATTGCACTTAAAAACAATAAGTAATTTATAAGGTCGACATCCCACCTGATACATTTTCTCAATAATATGATGAATATGAAAGCACAAATGTGGAGCAGTAAATAGAGAGTTTGAACGCATTCACAACAACAACAAAATAACAGAAGAACTTCGAAAATTAGGTAGAAGATAATACAAATAACCTTTCAATTAGCGTAATCGTTTCCTATTTTTCCACAATTCGGTGTTGGTGCGGGGTGTCGACGGGAGGTAGTGACCACATGGCGCAACCCAATCGGCGGAGTGTGGCGGTGCGGCAGAGATTTTGTGGTCGGAGATTATGATTGCGAAAGTGTAGGGCTGTGCGGCGGCGGTCTAAGAAATCAAGTTACGAAATGATAAGGTTGTCTGGGAAATGAATCGTGATAAAAGAAGAGGGGAAAAAAAGAAATTAAATAAAAAAAAAAAAAACTGTATGTACCACAAGAAATTAATTAAAAAAAAAAAACCAAAGGAAAGGAAACCATGGTGTGACACGTGGTGAATCACTTTCGTCGCCAAATATTATATATATACGATACGATATTTAAAAAGAAAAAGTAAAGGGAGAGAAATGTATGTTGTTAAAAGATATTATTACTATATATAAAATATAGATTATACTCTCTCGTTCAAAAGAATAGATTTGTTTTGTTTATTTTGGATATGAGATTATATTGATAGTGGATTGAAAGTAAATAAAAGATATTTTCTTTTTTTAAATTTGTATTTGGAATATGTTTTAATCTATGTACAAAAATAATAATAATAGAAAAATAAGATAATTTTATAGTAATATGAATATTTTGTATGAAGATTATTATTTTAAGGCAATATAATCCGCCCGGCCCGGCCCATGATTTTTTCTTACTTATTTAATTTTTTCAAGCAATACAGAAGTCGGTTAGAAACATTCCTTTGGTGAAAAATTAGTGTGCTTAGGCGTTTTTTTTGTCGGACTGAAAGATGAGAACGGAGGTTTTGCATTATGCAGATGTATTGAAGGAGACATTGAAGATTCCTTAGACTTCGAAACGGAATTTTTTGGCGGCTTGGAAGTCATGCGGCAGTTCGAGTCACCGGAAAAAGCCTGCTAAGCCGGAGAAGAAGAAAATCAGCTGCGAAAAGTTCGGTGGAGCAAAGAAAGTTATAGGTGGAAAGTCGATAGGGCAGCTCCTGAATCAGTAAAAGGTGAATCATTTGATACCTTAATTAACAGATAAGATCCATGGCGAAAACTTGCTCCTGACCATAAGTCAGTTGGTTTTAGAATAAAAAGGATCGCAGCTACCGCAGCAGATCGACGAATGCGCATACCCCGGAACAGGTTTCTCCGTGTCACCGTTGCCTCAAAAGTTAGAAATAGGCAACGGAGTCGACCCAAAAGTTAAAAATAGATGGCGGAGCCGACCATATTGTATATACCAACTATAATTATATATATATAAATATTAGAAAAATAAAATTAAGATATCCATTCCACATAGTGAAAAGAACATTTCAGAAATCAAAGAAACCACCCACTCCAAAAACCCTGGATACTCAACAATATAAAAAAATACTCAAATTCGTGGAGATGATAGGTAGTAATTCTCAATTCAAAAAATTCAATCTCAAGAATCAATAAAGAAGTTTTTATTCAATTAAGTTTGTTCTTGTTCTTACTATTGTTTTTATTCTTAATTTTGTTTTTCTAATATATATATAACTAGTGTTAAATCCGTGCGATGCACGACATTTTTACATTTTATTTTTTTATAATCAAATATTTTTATGTCTCCGTTAAATTTTTATTAAAAGAATACATTCATTATTTTCTCTTAAAAATTAAAAATTAGAATTATATAATAAGTAGTTATGTAATTAATATATATATATATATGTGTATAATAACAAATTTATTTTTAAATTCAAATTTATTATTTAATTTAAATGGAATCGATAAGTATTCTATATATATATATCATAGTATCATATTCTTAATAATTTTATCAACTTTTATATTTATAAAATATTTTTTGATTGTGTTAATTATAGTTTGTTAAATATGTTAATTATTATATATTAGTTATGGATATTTAATATAAATTTATTTTAATAAAAATATCAGAAATAAAGAAAAATAAATTAAAATTGTATAGATTTATTAAAAATTTATATATACGCAAATATATTTGAATAAAATTATAAGAACTCCACTAAATCATCACTATTTATATTTTTATCTAACATAAATGAAATTTTTTAATTTAAATGAAAAAATATGAATAATATAATACATATATTATAAATAAAAATAAATCAATTTTATTGTAATGTTATTATTAAATAGAAATTAATAAAAAAGTTATTTAAAGAGCAAATAATAGAAAAATATCTATAATATACAAAAAAAATAAAAATATACTATTAAATTATTTATACAAAGTACAAAATAATAACAAAATAAAATATTATAAATAAATGATACTTTAAACTATTTTATCATATTTGGATTATATACAATCCCAATATTTTGAAACTCCAATAAATTAAAATGAAGGAAAAAAATTGTATTTAGGGGCTAAAAATAGAGAAACGTTCTTGAAAGATTGAGGAGAAATTCACAGGAAAAATATTTTTTATAAAATAAAAGAATTATAGAACAAATGAGGTTAAAGTGTGACTGAAATGAATGAGAAACTGATCTTGCTTGTGGGGGCACTCCGCATAACACAAAATATAATTAATATTGCAAATAAAAATAAATCTATTTTTAAGTTTAATTTTATTATTAAATATAAACTAATATATGAATTATCTAAAAATAAATAATACAAAATATTTGTAAACACAAAATTATATAAAATTATTTATACATAGTACAAAATTAAAAAATATATAAAATAAATAGCATAAGTAAATTATACGTTAATACGACGCATCATCTTCAGATTAGGTGGCGCCTCAATATTTTGGAACTCCGATTATTAAAATGCAAGGAAAAAAACAACTATATTGGATGGCAAAGGAAAATAAAAACGTTATTTAAATATTAACCGGAAACTCGAAAAAATATTACCGGAAAAATGAAGAAAATTGAGAGGATGAAAGGATGAGAGGTTGATGCGTGATTGAAATGAGGATGAAGATTTGGTCTTTTATAGACATTCAAACGAGGGTTGTTATCAAATTCGTCATTAATGCCAACGTTAATTGATCGTAATTGACGTTTTTAATATTTTGTAACTTTCAATCATAAACATCAAAATTAATTTTACTCATAATAAATTTAATTATGTTTAATAAAATTTTATTATTTAGAAAGATTGGTATATTAATCATGAATATTTAATTTAATAGTATAAATTTATTTTATTAAAAAACTAATAATGAGAAAAAAAAATTGTATGAGTTAGATTTTCTTTATATAGATAAATAGGTAAAAAGTAAAATAAATGAGTACTTCAAATACTATAAAATAAAATTAATTATTTAATTTTAAAATAAAAGAAGTATTCTATATATATTATATTATATTATCAAATTATATATATTGATTATAAATATTATGAATATTTAATACAAATTTATTTTTTAAAAAATAAAAATAGCAAAAAAAAGAATAAATTGATATGAGATTCATTTTTCATATATATAATTAAAATATATTTCAAATTATAATGATTAAATATATATAATAGTACAATACTTACATTGAAATATTAGTAAAATTAATTACTCCTAAATAAAGGTATAAATAAAATCATTTTTTCTTTTATTATCTTCAAAATGTGTTTATTATAGTTTTATTATTTATAATATACTTAATACAGTTTAATATGTATTATTTTATTAGAAAAAAAAATGACAAAAAAAAAAAATGGAGTGGATCTCATTTTAAATAAAAAATCAAAATAATAATAAAAAGATATGGTGTATTAAACTCTACATTGATATCTTATATAATAATAATAATAATAATAATAATAATAATAATGATAATTTTTAACTTTTAATAAATATATTTATTAATCATAATTTCATTAATTATATCTATATCAATTAATATAATTACATTAAAAAATTAGTGAAATTCCATTATTTATTAATTACGGGTATAAATAAAAAATAAGAAAATATTACATAAAAAATTATAATATTATGAGACTTATCAACGTTTTATACATATTAGGATTACAAAATATAATTACGTAGTTTTAATTTTATTCATTATCAATATAATTATTTATAAAAATAATAAAAATTACATTTCAAAATTATTACATTTTCATTACTTTTAAATGGAAGTATAAACAAAAATAAACTTATATTACAATTTACTTTAATCATAAAATTAAATCAATTATTTTATTATCTTTAAAAATATACTAATTAAAATTTTATTAATTATAATATACTTAATAGCATTTAATACATATCTATTTTAATAAAAAAAAAACAAATTATGAAAAAAATGACAAAAAGGTATTGATGAAGTGAACCTCGTACTGATCTCTTATATATATATATATAAATATATAGATAATAATAATAATTTTTAACTTTTGATAAATATATTTATTAATTATAATTTCATAAATTATATCAATTCTAACTATATCAATTAATATAATTATTTAATATCAATTATAATGAAAAATTTGAAAAATTTCATTATCCATTAATTACGGGTATAAATAAAAATTAAGAAAATATTGAATTAATTTTAATATTTTTTAAGAATTAAAACATAAAGAAAAACTATAGACTTATGAAACTTATTTGCGTTTTTATATATATTAAGATTACAAAATATAATTACTGATGGTTTTAATTTTATTGATTATTAATATAATTATTTTAATTATAAAAATAAATAAAATTGCATTCCGAAGCTATTACATTTTCAATAGTCTTAATTAGAAGTATAAATGGACAAAATTATATTTACTTTAATCATAAAATTAAATCAATTATTTTATTATCTTTAAAAATGTATTTATTATAATTTTATTAATTATGATATACTTAATTATACTTAATAGCATTTAATACATATTTATTTTATTAAAAAATCAAAAATTATAAAAAAATCAAAAAATTTAACAAAAAAGATTTGGTGGAGTAGACCCCACACCGATATCTTATATATATATATAGATTATGGTTGGTATATACAACATGGCCGACTCCGCCACCTATTCACTACAAAAAAATAATATATTTGTAACGGAATTCCGTCCCTAAAGTTCACGTAGCTAACGTAATTCCATTCCTAATTCCGTCTCTAATGTGATTAGTAACGGAAAAAATAGATTTAGAGACAAAAAAGTTTTGTTACAAAAATGATTTTTTCTTGTAGTGATTTCTAACTTT